ATACAAAAAATCTCAAAATGCTTGCGTATATATAAGTATAGTTTATATAATCTACCAGCTCATTGAGCGCCGGTACCTGTCATGTAGACAATATTCATAATAACCAGTGGATGTGTAGTGAAGCATAAAGTTATTTAGTTTATAATGAGTTAATACTCAATACGAGTCATAATGAAATAAATTTATGTAATTTTGCTATAATTTTAAAACTACTTTTGAATAGTTGTGTAAAAATATAATACAGAGAAATATATTTAAAACTATCAAACTATTAGTGTATTTAAATTAAATTATTTACAATGAGTACTACCGGTGCTGTTAATACCCTTTCCATCATAGACTATGCGGTGTTTGCATTCATGTTAATTGTGTCGGCGCTTATCGGACTCTATTACTGGTGGACTGGTAGGGGAAAGTCGAGTGCCAATGAGTTTCTGATGGCTAACCGATCGATGAGTGTCCTCCCGGTGTCCATGTCAGTGATGGCTAGTTTTATATCAGCGATCGCACTGATAGGCATTCCCGCCGAGGTCTACATCTATGGCCTACAGAATTGGGCTATGATTTGTAGCTTTCCGGTGGTCATGTATGTGAGCGCCTATATGTTTATGCCTGTGTTCTATGAATTACAAATTACCAGCACTTATGAGGTTAGTTACCAAGTACATTTTTATAACTTGGCCATAGTTTTATAAGCTAATTTATATTCAATAATTATTATTACTTTTTAATATAAGTGTGGATATAGAGAGTGATCTAAAAATTATTATAAACATTTTTAAATGAATTATTTGAATAGTAAATAAGAGTTGTTTATTCATTATTTGAAATTTAAGACTAAAGTCAAATAAAATATGAATTAATATTTGTTTAAAAAGTATTTTTATGAATTAAAGAAAATATAATTTTAAAATTATTTATTCAGACGATTAATAAATTATTGTTTAACAATTTATATGTAATTTTATTATAAAACATTATGAAATATTATATGTTAATCTATGGTTTGTTTAATGCAAATGTAGTTATTATTACCGTATATCACTGATTATCTCTAAAAAACAAAATTCAATGTCAAGTTTTATTAGATTTATTGAATTTTTTTTGTGAATATTTTTGTGACATTAATGTCGACTAAAATTGCTGTTTATAAGATATTAATCATTTATTACAATCAATACAACTGTATATCACATGCAAATTGTGATGTAATTTAGAGAATAGTTGTACAAAATTCGTGATAAATATTATATACAAAAGCCTTCAAAATATAGTAAAATATAAAAATTACACTAAATATTGTTAAATATTATTCATAAATAAATATATATATCTTCGCTTCTCTCTCTCTCTCTCTCTTTCTCTCTCTAAATCACTCACTCACTCCCACTCTCTCCATTCACTCACTTTCTGTGTTTAACGAGTCGTAACAAAAACTTAATAAAAGTTTAAAAGACTTTCAACAACTTTCAAAAACTAATAATGCGTTAACTATAATGAAATAATAAACAAACAAAAACTTTTATATAATCATTTCTCTAAAATATATTTAATGACTTTCTTATCAAACAATTATTTAGGAAATAAATTCAAATTGATATATAAAAGTAATATTTATAATATTTTGTACTTGTCATGGAATATACAAAAATAAAATAAAATAAAAACAATAAAATTGATAATAGCCTTTAAATCATTACTCCTACAATAGCAAATGAATTTTAAAATTTAATTTGAATGATAATTATTACAATTTTCATTTAATACACAAAATAAAATAAGCAATATTTCTTTTTAATTACTTTATATTTTATAAAGTTTAATTTATGTATAATTTACATTTTATTATGTGATTTAGTATCTGGATAAACGATTTGGCAGATCAGTGAGATTGTTGGGTTCATTGATTTATACAATCAACATGGTGATGATTTATTAAGATAATTTATAAATATTCTGAATTTAATTGAAAACCTATATTATAGGTAGTCCTCATGTCGATTGTATTGTATGGGCCAGCATTAGCCATATCGCAATGTATGTATTGATTTTCCACATTTGCCAGTAGCAACTTGTATCTTAAATTATAATTTATAATAATAATATAAATAAAACAAATATTTACAAGTAATAAATTTATCGCTCATAATAGTAGACTTAAAATTTATTTTGTAACATAACTCGTGGCCAATGAGAAAGTGCTAAATTCATAAGTTTATAGATAGTTTTTTAAAATAAATCATTACCTACTAATAATAATAGTAGGCTACTATTAATTTTGAACATTTTTGTGGTATTCTAGTGACAGGAATGGGATTATGGTTTTCGGTGATAACTACAGGAGTCGTCTGTACTTTCTATACGACTATCGGTGGTATGAAAGCCGTCGTCTGGACGGATGTGTTTCAGACGACTCTTATGTTTGCAATGATGGGTACAGTTGTGGTCAAAGGGGTGTATGATTTGGGAGGACTTCACACCCTTTGGGATATTAATAACCACTTCGATAGGATTGAGCTCTTCAAGTGAGGCATCAAAATATGAAAACTATAAAAGTGTTGAATAAAATTATTTTATTTAAATAATTATTTTCTAATATATAGCTTGAACCCTAACCCATTCATCAGGCACACATTTTGGACAGTGTTCTTTGGTTCAGTAGTCCACTGGACTAACATTTATGCCACTAATCAGGCTATGGTTCAGAGATACCTAACCATACCTACTCTAAAACGCGCACAAATGTAAATCAAGTAATAATTTATTGAAAGCATATTAAATGAGTTTATGTTCAGGACTTTATTAATTGTGTGGCCGCTGAAGACCACAATCATATGCCTATCTTGTTTGGCAGGACTGGTAGTGTTTGCCAAATATAGTACATGTGATCCGATGTCAACCAAACGTATCGAGCGTTTCGATCAGTTGTTCCCCTTATATGTGATCCAATCGTTCAGTTTTATACCGGGATTTGTGGGCCTTTTCATCGCCGGTGTATTCAGTGGTTCCCTCAGGTTTGCAAACAAATGAAAATCTTTATTGAGTTAAAAATCATTTAAAACTTTTTTGACCCAACTTTCAGTACAATCTCTTCGGGCGTCAACTCTCTGTCTGCGGTCACTCTCCAGGACTTTATTCGTCCGTTTCTGTCGTATAAGATGTCCGACTCTGCGGCCACTCTTACTGTCAAAGTTGTGGCCGTTTTCTATGGCTTACTGTCCATTGCTTTGGTATTATTGGCTCAACAGATGGGAAATATACTCCAGGCGGCAATAGCCCTGTTTGGACTGCTGGGGTCACCAGTTTTTGGTTTATTTATTTTAGGGATGTTTGTGCCCACTGCCAACTCCAAAGGGGCCTTTTGGGGCACTCTGTTGGGAATTAGTTGTTCATTATGGGTGGGTGTGGGGGCTATGATGTACAAGCCATACCTACCAAAAAAGCCTATTTCAGTGGAAAGTTGTATAGAATTATACGAGAATGTCACACATAATACCTATAATCAACTAACATTTGGACAACCATCCCAATTGGATTTAAATAAAAAGTAGTGATTATTCCCTTTTTGTCTATCAATACATTTATTCTAAGATTGATTGTATATTTCAGTTCAGAAATACCACTTTTATATCAAATATCTTATCAATACTACGGAGTGATAGGAACTGTAGTTACAGTATTAGCCGGTTATATCATATCACTCTTGACTGGTATTATACAAACATATTATCCTTAAAAATATATAAGTTTTTAATATTTTTATGAATACCTGTCCCATGAATAGGCCGGACGTCGATCGCAGAGATGGACTCAACACTATTCACACCATTAGTTCGTAAACATGTGGAGAGATTACAGAGACTTCGTATCGAAGATTATATTCAAAAGGTTTTTCATATTAATAATGAAATTTAATATTAAATTAATTGATTTAAAATTGTTGTCAACGGATAGGAGGGACCGGAAAAAGCCCAACAAGTGATCGCATCGGCACTGATAGGCAGTGCCGGACAACTGCCACACAAATCACACACGGATTTAGTGCTCAATAACTTTACCCATAATTATGTCAATAATAATAACACAAATAATTCAATCAATTCCTATAATAATGACAACTATTATCTGAATGAAGCGTTTAGTAATACTACAGAATATGTGACAAAGTTTTAAGTTTAAAAACAATAAAATCTAAAATTGTTTAACTGTACTTTATATTTTTATTAATACCAGTAACAATTTTAAAATTAACTGCAGTGAAGTGTTTAAATTATATTTATATTATTATATTTACAATAAATACAATTTCACAAAAAATTATTATATTTATATTTATTTAGTGATTGGTTTAAATATAAATAATTTACAATAAAGATAAATAATATTTTAAATTAAAATGATTAATATCTATAATTATTTGTACCAAAATGTCACCAGATTCTTATAATTGTTTTGTTTTGTAATTATTAATAAAACTTTATGTTGTATATTTGTGTAAATTATAAATAACAATGAACAATATATAATATTCAAATAAAGTGCATTTCTATATACATAAATGAATTGAGATCTATAATTATTTTAATCCTCACATTATCAATATAAAAGTAAACTCATTACAGTAATATTATTTAATTGATAAAAATATAATTTAAAAAATTTTTATTATTGATCTTTAAATTGCACTTCCTTACTATACCCTTGTTCACACAATTAACAAAAGCTATTTTTAAATATGATTTTTTGGTTCATAATTATAACTTAATTATTTATATTTTATTTGTTTGCATTGCTCAAGGATATTAAAGCATATAAAATATTATTGAATAAAAAATTAAAATAAATTACTTATTCATAAAACTAGAAATCAAAATTATGTTACTTTTTATAATCACATTTTATCATAAACACCGAGTGTATGAGTGGATAACTGTAATAATAATTTTATTACAGTATAGTAATATTAGAGATTATTAGTATATTCATATTCTACAAGTGCTCATTGGGCACCAGTACGTGTCACATAGACATTATCCATACGACTAGTGTATCTAGGTCATGTATTATAAAGTTATTTAAATTATAAAATTATTTTTAGTGCTAACTCTAAATATCAGAATATCACTAATAATGAGTGCATTTATTTCAAAAATCATTTAAAAATTTGTGTAAATCTTAATAATTAATAAAATATAATTATATAAATCAATTTATTTTGCAATGAGTACTACCGGTGCTGTTAATACTCTATCAACCGTAGACTATGCGGTGTTTGCATCCATGTTAATAGTTTCGGCGCTTATTGGTCTGTATTACTGGTGGACGGGTAGGGGAAAGTCGAGTGCCAATGAATTTCTGATGGCTAACCGGTCGATGAGTGTCCTTCCGGTGTCCATGTCAGTGATGGCCACATTTATATCGGCCATAGCTTTATTAGGCTTTCCCGCCGAGGTGTACATCTATGGCTTACAAAACTGGGCTGTTATGTGCAGTTTCCCAATAGTCATGTATGTGAGCGCCTATATGTTTATGCCTGTGTTCTATGAACTTCAAATTACCAGCACATTTGAGGTGTGTTAACCAGGTACACTTTAATTATAAATAATAATTTAAGAACTAAATTATATAATTTACATTTGAGCCTTTTTTAAGGTAGGTAGGGACAGGTATCTCTGAACTCCAGCCTGATTAGTGGCGTAAATGCTGGTCCAGTTTACTACAGACCCGATAAATACTGTCCAAAATGTGTGTCGGATAAATGGATTTGGATTTAAGCTATTTAAGTGTAATTAATTTTAATTAAATGTATTGTATTTTTAGCAATTGATGCCTCACTTGAAAACTTCAGTTCTATCGAAGTGTTTATTAATATCCCAAAGGGTGTGAAAACCTCCCAAATCATACACCCCTTTGACCACAACTGTACCCATCATTGCAAACATAAGAGTCGTCTGAAACACATCCGTCCAGATGACGGCTTTTATACCACCGATAGTCGTATAGAAAGTACAGACGACTCCTGTAGTTATCACCGAAAACCATAATCCCATTCCTGTCACTAGTATTAAAGATTGTAATCAATAAAACCATCTAAAAATAATTCGTTTATTCATAAGTTATCTCACATTATGTATAACTAGTATATTTTCATATTCAGTACGACTACATATCATATTAATACCTACATTGAGATATGGCTAATGCCGGTCCATATAATACAATAGACTGGAGAACAACCTGGTTCAATAAAATGTATACTCTTAAATATAAACCGTTTAAATATTATAGTAAGCTGTATTTAATTTATCTAGAATTACCATGTTGACTGTGTATATGAGTGAACCCAATAACCTAACCGATCTACCAAACCGTTTATCTAAATACTAAATTAGAAAATATTATTAAAATAAATAAGATTAAGTATTTTATATAATAATCTAAATTATAATATACTGAACAGTAATACTATTTAACATTCATGCTCTAATCATATTAAAAATTTTAATTCCAATGACAATTATATAATTAAACTATGATGACCTTGGTTTAATATATCATTATAACTTTTGAGATTTTAAACTTATTTATTTTTAGTGACCTTATTGTGCACTCAATAATTATATTATTATTTCTAAATATAAATATAAATTATTATAGATAATATAAAATATTTAATAACTAACTATTTAAATAGCATAGCTTCTAGCATAAGTATTTAAAGTGTACCTGGTTAACACACCTCAAATGTGCTGGTAATTTGAAGTTCATAGAACACAGGCATAAACATATAGGCGCTCACATACATGACTATTGGGAAACTGCACATAACAGCCCAGTTTTGT